GTTGAAAAAGTTTAACACAGTGACACACTGACATTCGCATTTATTATAAAGATGAGTGAATTTACTAACCACTAATAATGCAGGTGACTCAGAAAACCGATAGAGGTGAAATTGTTGCAAAGGCGATTTTCGTTTTTGAATGTTCAATTTCTTTGCATTGTGATTATAATTTGTCGTCTTTGGCGTGACTGCGAAAGAAAACCGAATTTGCCACACACAACAAAATTTGCCCAATGAAGCGAATGAAGAGATTTAAAAAGAAAACAGTTGAGACTCTCCTAGAATAATTTATTTTTCATTAAATGAAATATCTTCAGCAATTATTAATTTATTTCATCTGGAATTTTTAGTTCCTATTCATGACAAGCACAGAATGCCTCAGCTGTTGCAGCAAATGACAGCGGGAAAAAAAAAAAAACAAAAAAAAACAAAAAAACAAAAAAAACTGAGAGTTAAAAAATACAAGTGAAAAGTTAATAATTGCAGTTCTATTGTTAGTTAATTTTCTGTCGAAATTTTGAACCAGCATGTTCATCTTGATTGCTATGCTCGCTATTCACATTGTATCCTTCGATTTTCTGTAAGTATCAGTCATGCTTGATAGCCTAAGGATTCTGAAATAAACACTTTATTCAATCTACTAGGGTTGAATGTTCTTAAAAGACTCATACTTTTGTGGATTAAAACGTTAATTTAAGCATATGCTGTTCCCTGGCTGCTGTGAGTTCAATCCGTGGGACGGGTAATGAGGGAACGTCGCAGATGGCAAAAGAAAAATGAATAAAGCTATTTTCGCTACCGAATGTGACACAATGTCAAAAGTGACTAAGAATTAAATATTGATAGGACTTATCTCCCCCCTAAGCATGGCCACTTCAACGTGGTATAATGGTTAGTAAGTTTGTCACGCGAGATCAATTACGACTGAGTATTGAGTTCGATACTGACTGGGTGCGCCGTAATTTAGGGCTTGTGTGACATGTAAGCTACGCTTAGTAAATCGATATCCAAGCATAGAAAGTGAAATGAGAACAATCGTTACCAGTGGAATAAATAAAGTGTTCGATTCAACAATCAGAGACGTTTACCGATAAGCAGGTAATTATAAAAAAAATGCTGGGACTTGACACAGAAGGAATGAAAGATAGGGAGTCAAAGAAAGAGAGAGAGAGAGAGAGAGGGAGGGAGATAGAGAGAGAGAGCGAGTGAGAGAGAAGGAGAGAGAAGGAGAGTGAGAGAGAGAGGGGGACAGAAGTGACGTCAAAGGAGGTGATTATGCCTTTATCAGATTAAACCTTTCTTTCTCTGGGCACCTCGGTGTCATCGTTAGCACTCTTGTCTCGCTAGAACAATTACGACTGAGTCGTGAGTTCGATCCTCACTGGGTGCTCCATATTTCCGGCCTTGTGCCACATCTAAGCAGCGCTTATGAAATCACTATCTGTCGGCACCTCGACGTGGTGTAATGGTTAGCAAGCTTGTCTCGCTAGAACACTTACGACTGAGTAATTAGTTCGATCCTCCTTGGATGGCCCCTACTTTCGGCCTTGTGCCACATCTATGCTACACTTGGAAAATCACTATCTCTTTCTAAATATCTTTTTATGTACATCGCTACCCGTGTAACATATTAAATTATATGATAAAATTTGATATTAAAATTTAGTGATTATGTTGAAGATATTTTAAGAATAGTAATTGTTGGTTATTGGAATTCATTCCCTATACACCAATATATATATATATATATATATATATATATATATATACATACTAAACAAGTATGAAGTTCTACATTGGTATTGGCATTTCTAAGAGATTAGGATTATATTTCTTATCTGCCGGATTTATCTACGTACGTATGTATGTGTGCATGCATCTATCTATCTATCTATCTATCTATCTATCTATCTATCTATCTATACAGAGAGAGAGAGAGAGAGAGAGAGAGAGAGAGAGAGAGAGAGAGTGAGAGATAGAGGGAGAGAGGTAACTAGTCCGTTCATATGTAATTCTCAATTTCACTATCTATCTATCTATCTATCTATCTATCTATCTATCTTAATTAGTATAAAGACATAAATATAGGTCTGTGTGTTTGTGTGAAAGACAAAGTGTGTTTATTTCTGTGCGTGCATACCTCGGACAGGTCATATCTAATTAATATTTTTTAAATCTATCTATCTATCTATCTATCTATCTATCTATCTATCTATCTATCTCAGTCTGTTCAGATCTATCTATCTATCTATCTATCTATCTATCTATCTATCTATCTATCTATCTATCTATCTATCTATCTATCTATCTATCTATCTCAGTCTGTTCGTATCTATCTATCTATCTATCTATCTATCTATCTCAGTCTGTTCAGATCTATCTATCTATCTATCTATCTATCTATCTATCTAAATAATTAAAGAATGCCCTTTTTATACATTATTCTTCTTAAACTCCCATTATTTCTAGGGGAAATTGTCAGGTCAATTCACTATACATATATTTTAATCTCAACGATAGTAAGAGAAAGAAAATAGCGTTTAAACAATCCAATTCCAAAAAGAATTGTTATGCCTACAAATATATTTTTTGATTCATCATTAAAACAATTTCAGCATTTATCTGTTTCGGAACAAACCGATTTAGCCTGATAGGAAAATGTCGTTTACTGAATCGGAGAAATTGCTTTTAGAAACATCCCCTGAATTCTATTTATTTATTATTAATATTTTAAATCTCGAATTACAAACATATTTTGGATTATGACAGGAAAAATAATAGCTTGCTACATAACAATAAAATTGCGTAAGAATCTCTTTTAGTACCAATATAATTCTGAAAAAGAAGATCCCACTGGTTCTGGTGTAGGCAAAGAATTCATTCGTTTCAAGGATATATTAAAATCGGTTTTACGGTCATATTACATAATTGGAAAGATCAATTCCGTTTCATTCTATGTCATTTCTTTTTCAGTCAATAAGAGTTTTTTGTGCTGTGCATTCAGCTTTGGTCATTTTCGTTTACCCTTGACATGACACTAATCCAGGCGAACTACATTTCTGACTTCCACCAGTTCCGATCATTACAGCTCGGGTACGACATGCTACATACGCGGGGTCGAATTATCCTGGTGAGTAAGAAAGAAGAGACGTTATAGTCTTGAAAACTGATATTTGTGAGATAAACTCCCGAGTGGATGCTTCCCTCACTACAACAATCTTAACCACTTCAAGTCTAGGGTCAACCGTTATCTATCCTACATATACTGTCATTACTTCCTACTCTTAAGTCCATATAGCAATTTCACTCAATAACCCTCTATCTTGAGTGGGTCTTGAGCCTTGCATTGAGTGAAAATTAGTGAAAAATATAGCTAATATTTTTTTTCATTAAATACGATCATTTTGCTTAGAATTTGTATTGTCTTGATTTCAAATCAAAACTTCTGAATTTGACGGTATATTTCAGTGACATTATCCTTTTATCAAATTAAGAGTTTGTATTTTGAAATATGAGATAACGATGTATAGACTGTTCCAATAACTTGCACTGATTTTAAATTTGAATTAAGTTTAAGCGTCAAATGACATTTTTTTTTCTTTTTCTTTCAGATTTAGCAACTTAAATCTTTGGCATTTTCAACCATGGAAAGATTAACAATCAAACAACGTTAAAGCCTGTTGCGAAAATGGACGTTCAAATTTATAAATGTAAGGCCTAATGATTCCGATTGGAAAATTGCACAGCAAACAGTGCAACCCAAATGCGACAATTCTGCTTATTAACGAATCCACCAAGATAAAAATGGGCTTCATCACTAAAGAGAATTTTTTGCGAAAAATCTTCATCGGCTTGTCTTTGCTCGTGCACCCAATTGACGAATGTACGGCTCTCCAAATGATCATCAGGTTTTAGTTCTTGTCTCAGTTGAATTCTGTAAGCGTGAAGAGACAACTCTTTTGTCAAAATTCGATGTAACGTTGTTGTGGAGAGGTTCAATTCCTGCGCGCGAGGACGAATAGAAGTGTCCGGATTTTCGGATACATTCTCCTGCACTGCAGCAAAGATTTCAGCTGAATAGCGTAAACGAGCACACAATGGTGTTTTTTCACATGCACCACCAACCCAGTTTGTTTGAATTTACGAACAATTTTTCCAAATTTCACCCTCGGTTGGTTGATTATGTTGACCCCAAAATCACGAAGTTCGCGAAATGCCTTTCTGTTTGAACGTCCATTTTCGTAATAGGCTTCGATAACTTTAACATGTTGTTTGATTGGTAATCTTTTCATGGTTAAAACGAAGACGAAAAAATCATTAGATGCTTAAAATCAATTCACATTTGAAATCGGTCAAAGTTATTGGAACACGCTATATATATTATATACCAAGAACAATATTGGGGCAAAATGTATGGCATTGTGGATACTCGATCGCCTGTAATAATTGTCACAAAATATACATAGGAGAAAACTCAAGGAATCTAAAGAAAATATTATATGATCATAAAAGGGACATCTTACAAAACAATATGTCAAATGCATTGGTTTCTCGGGATTGACCATAATTTTGACACAAAAATGTTTCTCTGATCAAAGGAGAAAACAATTCACTGCGACGAAAATATCTAGAAAGTGCTTTGATCGCAAGGTCATCTACAGCAAATTTGTGCCTGGGCAGTTCACCATTCCTGGCAGAACGTCTTTTATCACGGCGTGGGATATCTACTAACAAAAGTGATAAATAGAAAAAAGGAAAGGAATCTCAATGAAATTGGCTAGATTAAAAAAAAATAATCCAAATTAAAAATTTAAAATTCCCAGCGTCTCTCGGTCGTCCGCATGTGTAGTCACACTAACATAACAAATTTAGTCCGATGAAGTCCTAAAGGATGAAACGATCCACAAGAAAAGGTTTTCCACTTTGACATACATGTTAGATATACGGAAAAAAAGTGGTGGCTTTAGTTTAAGCGGGCACCAAGAGAATATAATATTTGAATGAACATTGGCTTAAACCGCATTGCTTTCTCTCTCACTATCATATTGTTATATACGAATTAAAGCTTAGTCTGGCATAAGGTTACTCTCTTAATATGTTCACACTCTTTCTAACTATGTATCCATCTAAACTTTTTATCATCTATTTATCTATTAAAACCCTTTCTTTTTTCTCTTTCTTTCTTTTTCTTTCTTTCTTTCTTTCTTTCTTTCTTTCTTTCTTTCTTTCTTTATCTGCTTCTTTAAAATCACTATCCTAACCTGCTGATAGCCTTTCTTTCTTTCTTTCTTTCTTTCTTTCTTTCTTTCTTTCTTTCTTAGCTTGTCCCTATCTATCTATCTATCTATCTATCTATCTATCTATCTATCTATCTATCACCCTTTCATCTTTCTTTTTCCTTTCTCAGCTTGTTCCTATCTCTCTCACTCTCTCTTGCTCTCTCTTGCTCTCTCTTCCCACCTCTCTCTCTCTCTCTCTCTCTCTATATATATATATATATATATATATATATATATATTTATATTAAGCTTTTCCATTCCTTGCTTTCTTTCTTAGCTTGTACCAATTTCTCTCACTCTTTCTCTCTCACTATCTAAACCTGTTTGCACCCTTTCTTTCTTAGCTTGTTCCTATCTATCTATCTATATATCTATCTATCTATCTATCTATCTTAACCTGTACGAACCCTTTCTTTACTTCTATGTAATTTTACATTGTTATCAATTAGTTTTTTCTTCTTTTCCTCATGGAATAATATAATTGTAGCAAAACAAAACTTTTGTTTCCATGACACCTAATAAAAATCATCTTAAACTAAAAACATACATAATACATCTTCATGTTCACTTAAATTAGAAGCCGTTAGTAAGTAAGGTCGCTCTCCTAACATTACTTCGTTTTGCCCTCTAAATCTCTATGCATACGTTTATTCTGACATAAATCTATTAGTCTTTTATTATAGAATAAAAGAAAAGAATGAATATAACGCCCATCATTACTAATGACATTTCTCTAGGCGTGTTTTTCCTTTCCCATTACTTCTGAGTGCCTATCCGTATCACTTTACTTATTCTTAAGCCTCTTTTAATTCGCGCTTTTTCTGGAAAATTTGATTTCCTAAGTGTGTGGAAATGTCTTCATTTTGAGTTCATAACAGAATAATGTTCCCGAAGAGCCGAAAGCGTTTTGATAATCTTGTCTTTAAGATGCGCTTTCGTACAGCTTTCTGTGTAGCAAAATATTTTTCATTCGTCTTCCTTGTGAAGGATTTATCTGTTGCTTATTTATTTCCACAGATTTTTCTGTCTTTTATAAATGTAGCATCAATCGCGACACTTGGAATTTTCTCTTACGCTGCCGAAAGATAATTAACAAAACGCACTGATGTACTTTCTAAAGGAGACGCACGCTGGAAAACGTCAGAGTTCCACACAAATCAATATTTCTGAGATAGATTTTCACTATTCGGAAATGAAATGCGATTTGAAATACGAGTCCTTTGAGCTTTCAAAGCTTAGAAACTTTACAGTTTTCGAAAGCTAGGAACTCTTTTCAACTAATATTATAATATTTCTATATCTCTGTTTAATTTAAATCAGTTTTTTTCCCCACTACCTTATGGCCGATTCATTCTACCGGCTTCTTTATTCGTACATTCCGTATGGATATAGGTATGCATTTATTTTTTGGATTATTTTTCAAGTATCATATAATAATTATGCTTGTCTCTCCCTTCGTAAGTTCCTTAATTTACTCGACCGTTACGCCCTGTCAGTAACCCATAAATAATGGTCTATTCTGTTTTGAACGCGTGGAAAGACAAAAGACATATCAGAGACGCTACCTGGTTTCAGTGAAAAAAAAGAAAGAAACATAGAACAGTTTAAATGTATCCTGGTAATATCTCATCAACAATGAGCTATTCCGTTTTCAATGTGTGGAAAGACGAAAAAGACATATCAGAGACGCTACTTGATTTCCGTGTGAAAATGAAAAAAAAGAAAGAAAGACAGATGGAATAGGCAATAACACTCATTTGCTTAACATCTGTTTTAGTGAAATGAAAAACGTTGTCATTTTTAAATATTTTTCATTTGTACCTCTTACTTTTTAATACCCTGGTAATATCTCATGAATAATGGACAAGTCTGTTTTGATCTCGTGAGAAGACAAACGATATATCAAAGACGATTTCAGTCAGAAAATCCAAGAAAGAATGTAAAAGAGAAGTATTTAACGCCTGTTTCAATGAAATGAGTAAAGGTGTCAATATCAAATCTTTACATTTGTACCTCCTTACTTTTTAAAATAACGACCAGCATTCATATTTATGATTGTTATTGCAATATTTTGTTAAAGCTGTTAAGCTCAAATGTGTAATGATACGATAGGGAAATTTCTACGGATATTTCTATTGTTGTAGAATTCGCCTTCAGCTTATTCAATCATTAACTGAAGAATTAAGATTCATCAGAAATTTCAAATCAAAAAATCTTGAAAATTTTACGAGTTAAAACTAGTATTTTACGAATTCTTAGAAAGGTATTTGTTGTATAAGAGTAAGTGTCGTTGCCGACACTGTGGTTTGAAACTAGATCACCAGTGACTAACACGGCCGATTGCATTATTAAGTAGATCACGTGATCATAAGGGAAGTGAATAAATAGGAAGAAGCTTGACGGCTAGCTGATCACTGTTCACTCTTCTTGTCTATCCACTATTGCTATACGTTCGCTCTCTCTACAAGTATACGGATTACGATTCTCTTCTGATCATTATACTATTTGGCAATTACTACTTGAACAAATATTACTAGTGCGGATATTATTGGAAGGCGTTACTACTAGTACCGGTGTCTACGGAGTCTCGAATATAACGAGTGATAACGAGATTTCGCTTGACATACCAAAAGTGAAAAGCAAAGCTATCCAACATCACAAAAGTATTCTTAGATTATTATTCAGTAAACATTTCACTTGATAATTGTTAATTGTTAGGAAAATATAGTGAGCTTATAGATGTGACGTCAATCAGCAACAAATCAAGGGTATTCTTTCAAAATTGAAATTGTTATCAGTTTTGGTAAACCAAGATTTTAGAATAGTTCCGAATCCCGACTTAATTCGGTAATTTGTTTTCTTATCGCCTTCTAACTGATTTATTATACGGCCTTCTGCAGTTGTGTAATCTTCATGAATAGAAGTCGGGTTATATATTTTCCGAGTAGATATGAAGAGGAAAATTGAGGCAACAGAGATGTGGTTGCACATAATGACACCTAGGATAGAATAGACGGAACAGATGATGATTTACTAAGCTCAGCTTAGTCGTGGCACAGGGCCAAAAGTAAGGGGCACCCAGGAGGTTCGACAAGCTTGCTAACCGTTACACCACGTTAAGGTGTCCTATTATGAATAACAAGCCAGTTTTAAGGAAAATGGACACAAAAAAGATGCTTTAGTTAGTATCAAAAATGGCGGTGGTAATTCATAGGACAAATGAGGAAATAAGGTTTGGAAAATCTGACACTGGCCGGGCATAACGGAGTCAAGAATTACAAAGGGAAACAAAGGTTAACCCACCAAACGAACAGATCATGAACTGTGAAGGATATTAAAAAGACAAACATTGTTAAGAAGGTAAACTGTAGAGAACTATGATCGCCCACGTCCTGAAGAGACACGACACACAGAAAAGAAGAAAAAGAAGGGTTAAAGTATATTTAACTAATCCTTAAAAATATATATTTGTCGATTTTTCAGGAACTATTTTAATTATTTTAACTAGCCGAATTACCTGCACCTTGCTTCGTGTTACACATTTTTTGAAAGAAAATGATGATTGATTTTAAATCATTGTTATAATCTATGGGGGAAAATGGTGCATTTCAATGTTACTTAATGATTTTGCCAGTATGACCTCCATCTTCTGACTTTCTCCTTCTATATTTTGGAGAGGAGTCATTCCCTTGTTCAAATTTAAATTTAATTTAAATCTAAAGGAAAAAAAATCAGTGGGGGTTTATTCCCCCGACCCCGCGGACTCCTTTTAATCAAAATAAAATATACTTATTCAAGTACTCTAGGAGCCATTCCCTTCTTCAAACTAAAACCAATGTATAAAAAAAAAATCAGTGAGGGGTTTGTACGCTCCGGGGAGCCCCTTTAATCAAAATGACCTTGCCGATGTGACTTGTTTCTTCTGGCTCCCGCCTTCTATATTTTGGATAGGAGACATTCCCTTGTTCAAATTTAAATTTAATTTAAATCAAGAGAAAAAAAAAATCAGTGGAGTGGGTGTGACGCCCGTAGAACCCCTGTGATCAAAATGAAATATACTTATCCAAGTACCCTGGGTAATGTAGTTTCAAAATATATGGTGATGTGGGTCTATCTTCAAAACCCTAGGAGGAGTTCGATAACAAACAGACAGACAGAGGTTCAAATTTATATATATAGATTATGAGACGACTATTAAAATAGATGTTCTACGCCAGTTTATCCTTTTTCGACCAACCTATTCTGAATAAACTGTATAGTAGGTGACGGTCACTTTTTTGTCGGAATAGTTGTGTAGTGCACTGTTAAACTAGAATTTACAACCAACAATATCACATCATATTATCAGGGGAGGTAGTGGCAGAGTTTTCAGAAACTAATTCGCGTCTGCCGAAAGCAGATTCCTACAACCTCACGCCTGCACCTGGCTCGCAAGCATGGAAAGTGACTAGATATAAAAGAAGCGCCTAAGCGGTTAGGGGCAGAGAGTTTCTCTCATATCGCCGGCGAGAATGTAAGGTCCGAGCTTTTAAACGATGGCACCCGGGGCAATAAGCGTAGACTTTGGCCAAGGCCAATTGATGAAGTCAGGAATGAAATAAAATGGAATGTTAAATATGGGATAGTATGTATCGTGCTATCATTTGCGTTGTCAAGTTTCAATCATAAAAAGAAAACAGTAGCTGGTAATGACGAATGTATAATGCAAATTAACCGTTTGTTAACTATAACATGACAGGTGATTAAAAATGGGTTCCGCATAACAATGTTAAAAACAAAAGCAGACGAACCCGAACTTTGAGCTCCATGGAAGAAAGGTAATATTGTTTGTGTCGTGTGAACGCCCGGGTATGAACTAATAAAAGTCAGAAGGGTATGAACTAATAAAAGTGAGAAGGGTATGAACTACCAAAATTCAGAAGGATATGAACTAATAAAAGTCAGATGGGTATGAACTACCAAAATCAGAAGGGTATGAACTAATAAAAGTCAGAAGGGTGTGAACTAATAGAAGTCAAAAGGGTATGAACTAACAAAAGTCAAGAAGGTATGAACTAATAAAAGTCAAAAGGGTATGAACTACCAAAAGTCAGAAGGGTATGAACTAATAAAAGTGAGAAGGGTATGAACTACCAAATGTCAGAAGGGTATGAAATACCAAAAATCAGAAGTGTATGAACTAATAAATGTCAGAGGGGTATGAACTACCAAAAGTCAGAAGGATATGAATTAATAAAAATCAGAGGGTTATGAACTACCAAAAGTCAGAAGAATATGAACTAATAAAAGTCAGATGGGTATGAACTACCAAAAGTCAGAAGGGTATGAACTAATAGAAGTCAAAAGGGTATGAACTAACAAAAGTCAAAAAGGTATGAACTAATAAAGTGAGAAGTGTATGAACTAATAAAAGTCAGAGGGGTA